TAATGTATTATTGGAGCCTTCAAAGAGAAATCTCTCAGATATTAACTTATAGATTTATATAGTTTCTCTCATTCATAATAACACTTTTCTTTTTTCCAACAGTGAAATGAAAATATTGCAAATTTGGTTTTATATATAAAATGTTAAGCACCTTTATCTGTATAGTGGAACCCCAATCAGGAAAGATAGAATAAATATATGAAAGTCTTAGGAATGGTATTAGGTAAAAGATTCTAAAACTGGAGAACAGCAAGATTTTTGTTCATGATGCTGAGCTAACTCTGGGTTAAAACTTCAATCTAACCCTTCTCTGAACTTAGGACTTCTGCTTTGTAAGCTGGTCTTCCCACACTACTTCGACCTCCAAGGTCCCATCCAACTTTATTATTATTATTATTATTATTATTATCATCATCATCATCATCATTATTATTATTATATCCATATCAGTTCTATTACTACTTTTAGATGCTTGGAAGATTTTCAGACTCCTTAAAGTACCTCCTTCAAAATGTCACCCATAAACAGTACATACTCAGCCTTATTCCTTGGCCAATCAAAGGAACAGGCTGTATTCATTCTCTAGTCATAAACTGAATCAGTGAGGAATCATTATTATCTTCAAAATTTTAGATGCATCCAAAATTATTAAACTTCCCTTTTTATGACCCAGTAAACTCTTAATTTGGATGGAATTGAGTGTTCCTGCTACCACATGGAATTTGCAGCAGATATTTTTTTTCTCTGCATCCTAGGACATAAACATCTGCTTCTACCTAGAACTGAACTCTCAACCTTCTGAGTGGGAGGCAAGCATCTTCACAACTAGGCTACCATACCACTCTATTAAAAAATGTATAAAGTTGGTTTAGCCAAGAAAAGCTGTATTAAAATGAAATCCACACCACTATAATATATTGGTGCATTTCATAGTGCTTTTTATAAAAATGGATAGGGTTTCTGCACCTCCAATTATTGAGCAGAAAGATCATCTCAGCAGATAGGGCCTGAAATGCAACAAACTGCACTTTCTTAAATGGGCTCTTCTGCCAATTCTTAAAAGTGCAGGCATCATTTTTTTTCCTCACTAGCTGGCTAACATACTTATTCTGCTAGGACAACACTCCCCAACATCACCCAGTCTTCTCAGCAATAGCTACACTGGGTTGCATAGATGTCTGATAGAAGCCATGATGATGTCAGGTGTATCATGGCAACATTGGTCAAATGATACAAATTATGTAATGTACAGTATGTGTCTCATCATTTGCATGATGATATCATTGCACACCTGATGCCATTTTCTGTCCATTGTGCATGGCTAGTTGGGAAATTTTAGGAGCTGGACGTCACTCATCTAGAAGGAACCCAGGTTCAAAGGGCCTTGTATGGAACAAAAAGATTTCTCATCTCACATAATTCAGATATGGAAGAATTAAAGGAAAATATAACTCTGAACTATCTATCAAAGCTAGACCTGTCAATCCAGATCAGAGGTCTCAAATCCAGCCTATTATAATGCCTCAATGGAGGGCTAGAAATGCAGCTGCTTCTCAGGCTGTCCTGCCAGGGTGCAGAGCCCATATCTTGTCAGTTGAGGAGCTTCAGGCCTGAAGAGATTGACAACTTGCTTCTGGCAGTTGTTCTCCTGCTGTGCAAGCAGTGAGTGAGGTGTTTTTGCTTTCCTCACTTCCTTGTCACCATCAATCACCTATATTACCTCTGTAAACTTGCACTTGATTTGCCTCTGGGTAAGTTGGCATCTAAAAACAGCTCTTAAGTTTTCAATTCTTTTTATGCAGCTTTCTTTTTTTAAAAAAAATCTTGAGCTTTATGGAATTTACATACTGTAAATATCTCTGCTATGATATATGTGATAAATGAAAACCAAGGATCTTGCTTCTTGGTAGGGGATTGTATGTGTGTACTGGGGTGTGAGTGTCTGTGTGTTTATTATATTAACTGCATATATATTATATGAAGCCCATGTATTCTGAAAGGACTTTAATACACTTCAGTGTAGGCTAAGCTACTGAGAATACTCAGAGGACATTTATCATTTTATTCCTCACAAATTAAACCTGTGAAAAGAGGACTAGAATAGACAGAATAGAATAGAATAGAATAGAATAGAATAGAATAGAATAGAATAGAATAGAATAGAATAGAATAGAAGACTGAACTGTGATAGAATACCAAAGGGGCTCTCCCAAGGAGGTCTAGGACAACTCGCCATGGCCAACTCGTCATGGGACAGCTCATCATGGATAGCTCATCAAGGCCTACTTGTCATGGGGCAACTCACTATAGGACAATTCAGTGCTATATTAATCATTTCATTCAATTACTTTTATTATAGGTCACCACGTTTTCATTGAATTATTGTAACTCTTGTATTTCTGGACTGACTTTATTTTATTCTTATTGGGCAGTTCCTTGAAATTAATGTAACTTTTGTGTTTGCTGAATTGTCTTGCGGCGGGTTGTCTATGGTCCATTCCTCTCCCAAGAAGTGTGAGAGGTTGCAGCAGAAAGGCTGTGACTGGAGAATCCTCCCAATTCTTATTCATTGTGCCAACCCAATTCACATTAGAAGGCAACACTGTTTAGAGACAAACTATTCTGACTGCCAAAGCCAGAACTTGGCAAGTCTTAATTTTACAAAGATTGCATCAATGAGAGTAGTAAAGTATCTTTTATTTATCCAGTAAACTGACTGGTATATTTAACTGCTGTGTAATTGTGGGATAGCCCATGAATGTTATAGAAAAGTGTGTTGTTGTTGTTATTGTTAAAAAAATCCTTTCTTTCTGATTAATTTACCCATGTGACAGTGGGGTTATCCTGCATCTGTAAATCTGATGTTTAACATGGTGTTTCATACAAATGATTTAACAGGTGTATTCTGAGATGAGAAGCAATTTTATATGGTCCTTAGCAGCCTATTTAATTTTAATTGAGAATCATAAAAGTTTTCCCCACATTTCTATTTGGAAGAAAAATATTTTTGAAGATCAGAGACATGCCACATTTTAGTTTTAAGCATCATTTTAAATTTTGTAGTCTTACTACAGCTCAGTGCATATACGCTGCTTTTCTAAGTCTCTTATTTCCAGCTTATTATCAAGTCTGGCCACTCGTGAGGGAAACCAATTTCTCTGGTAACAGAGATATCTGGAAAATAAAAATACTCCTTAGAATAAACATGCAGACTATTGCTCCATTATTTTCCATCTACGATGGAAGACTTTCTTTGCAATAAATATACCACTGATAGGTCAGTGAGGAGCAAACATGGATGCTTTAATTATATTAAACAATTCAGCAGCTCCATTACTGTTGGAAAATTACTGTAGATAATTTCCAGTTTAGTTTGCAACCATCACACTTCCCAGCTTTAATCCCTTCATATACAAAATAGCAGCAGAATACAGTAGAGTGAAAAGTAGGACGTGAGATAAGCGCTCTTTTGCTCTTAACCATTAAAAAAAAATAGAAAACAATCTCTAAAACCAGTCACCATTGCAGTGTCATTTTCACTAGATTCTCTTACAGGTTATAAATGGACTAAGTTATAAATGCATCATTAAAGCAATGTGTTTCTTATGATAATACCAGGTAGGGAGTCCATAATAACACTAATATCTTGCTGGCTTCAGATGCACTGTAATCTTTTGTTTGACTTTCATTATTAATTACTGTATGATCTCATTTTGAGTTGCTTTTCCAAGATAGTGGTATGTGTAGATTTCTTGGGTGGTCAATTTTCTAAGATGCTCCTAAAGTACAACACAAGAAATGGTAAGCAGAAAGAGTTTGCAACAAAGACTGTATAAAGCATTCTGGATTCTATGTGTATAAGTTATGGCCACTTTGGGAGATTTCATAATATATCTTATGGGATATTATATTTTTTGAGAAATATTAAATATTTTATTTGCTTTGGTCCATGTACTATGAGGAAGTGCCTCAAGCTACTGCTCAAGTGGGTCCACAATCTTGGATCGTGGATAACTTACAGTAACAAATAAATTCAACAGTAGTTGTTTTTTAAATTCAGCAGTAGCTACCTTGCACACATTTTTTTTCTGATTTACACCTGTCTTCAGGAATATGCATGTTTACATCCATTTGAGATGAAGACGTGAATGTTGCGCTCACTGCTCGGTCCTCTGATTAACTGGAAGATTACACATATCTTCAGTAGTCAGTATTTTGTTTAGTCAACCAGACCTCTCTAGTTGTGTTAGGATATTAGCCTTCCATTACTAGGCTAATTGGCTATGTTGCTTATGGGCTATGGTATTTGGTATTTCTGGAGCAACTGTTCCAAAACACCTGAAAGTCATGATTTAAGAAAATTTACTTTAGTTTAAAATTTCAAATCAATATTTTAAAGCTGGTGAACACTTTTAGAATTTTGAAAGCATATCATGGCCATTTTTGTAACATGGCTTCTATTCTAGGCATTACACTTCATATAACAGCCATTTGTTACAAGATAAATTGATGCTGTTTCTCACTATCCTTTCTAATCTCTCAGGATGTTCTTTATCATTTCAGTTTACCTTTGTCCAGTTTCTTTCTGGGCATACAGTATGGGCACACTCTACAGAGAGCACTGAGCTGCTGACTAATGTCACAGTTATTTTTTAAGAGTGCTCCTGGAGTATATGTGAGACCGAGAAATACCCTTTGAAATAAAGTTTATACTTGAGATTTATGTTTTCTTCGACAACATACTAGCTTCTTATTTAATTTTACTTACATTGAAAGAAAATGATAGAGTAGAGTAGAGTAGGAATGGAATGGAATGGCATGGAATGGAATGGGCTGGAATAGGATAGGATAGGATAGGATAGGATAATATTTGCAGACGACACTATGGGAATCATGATTCATTTTTGTAGAGCGTAGTACTTATTCAAGAAATTATGCTAGGTGGCCTACTCTTTCATGTATTTTCTCTTATAGTATAAGGCAACGGTGTCAAACTGCCAGCCCACCCCAGGTCCGGCAAGGGGAAAAAAATCACGATACGTCGCAACACGTCACGTGACGCAGCGAGTTTGACACTCCTGGTATAAAGCCTATGAGGAACTTCTATAAATCTGAAATAATTATACAGGTATATTTGTTAAATATTCATACAGGTATATATGAAAAGTTTCACACTATCTGCATATATTTAACACTTGTTAAATTACTTAGTGTGGTTCTGTTTCACAAACAGTAATATATCATTTCTGTTGCAACAAACTTTTCACGGATGAGAGATTTCACTGATTCCAGCTTTACAAAGAAGATCAGGGAGTGATCCCAGAGCTCCAGAGATATTTTCTTATTACCACAAGTGGAAGCATACAAACAAGCCCTTACAACATACTTCTCAGACATTATATTCTGAAGTAATCCTCTTAAAATCAGTAGGACTGTTTTTGAAATAATAGCGTAGATAACTGAAGCCACATCTTATAAATCACTTGTATATTTGAAAAAGGTATCCTTAATCATTACTTGTCTTGTGTGAAATAAATTAATGTTATTGTGTTCCACTGCTTACTACCCTTCATGTTATGGATCTAAATCAGTGGTTCTCAACCTTTTTAATGCCGCGACCCCCAACCGGTCGTAAGTTGAGGACTACTCAACCGGTCGTAAGTCAAGGACTACTCAACTGGTGCAGCACCGTTTGCAGAATGGGACTTTTGGCGGGCTCAGCAGGGCAGAGACAGCCTGGACAATTCCTATTGGCTTTTGAAAGCCAATAGAATTAGACTCTATTCAAGAGAGTCTATTCTATTGGCTTTCAAATGCCAATAGAATAAAAGGGAGTAGCACAGCTAAGGAAAAGGGGGGAAAAAATGGTGGACTGCGTTGTTTGGCGACCCCTGTGAAATGGTCATTCGACCCCAAATGGGGTCCCGACCCACAGGTTGAGAACCACTGATCTAAATGTATGTTCACAACATATTAAGGGAAGCATTGTTCCAGTTTTTTCCCCCTCTGTTCTCACCAAATATCATCAGTTGCTAGGAAAATATCTATCTATCCTCTCCTTAATGTGGAATGGGAAGGAGGTTGGGGTGAATTTTGACAGATTTATTTATTTTATTTATTTGAATATACTAGCCACTCAATGAAGTATTGTAGATGGATTCTGGGAGGTGTACAAAACTAGAAAAACAAAAACAGATAAAAACAAATGAGACAGACAGCCCATTACTAACATATGGTTAGACCAGTGATGGCGAACCTTTCAGAGACCGAGTGCCCAAACTGCAACTCAAAACACACTTATGCATCATCGGGTGCCGGGTGGGTGTGGCCCATTAGGTGGGCATGGCTGCAGTGGTGACAGCAGACTGGCTGGGACTAAAAACTTCAATCAATCAATTCCAACTTTGCAAGATCTTTTTTTTTCCTGTGAGAAGTTGAAATTGATTAATTAAACCTCTTTTTTTTGTATACACAACGGCAGAGGCCTAAAGTGAAAAGGTTTTATAAAACCCAGCTGAAGGCCTAGGACTGGGGCAATGGTGCGCGTGCCCACAGAGAAGGCTCTGAGTGCTGCCTCTGGCACCCATGCCATAGGTTCGCCACCACTGGGCTAGACTAACAAGCTAATCAAGCACTGTTTGGAGATAGGCTTAACCTCTTGTCTTCAGTTCCCATTAAACTCATGTTTAAAAGGAACAACATCTAACTGAGAGAAAAGCTGCAGTTGGCACACTAGCCATAGTTACATAAATATATATAATCATTCAGAAAGAATCCATATGAACCCACAAACAATTGACAATGTTACTTCCTCTGACCTGCCCCAATCTTGAAGTCCAAATTGAAGTGAATCTAACTGAATTTGTTATCTGTCAGAGTAATGAACACTGCATCCGGCCTTTGACTGTCCCATTTCTCAAATATCTTTATGGGGGGAGATATTGTACACTACTGAAAAGCATTGCTGGCCTGTTCTGTCCACTCACAGTGGAACAGGAAATTAAACCCTCTGTACTGCTTATAGAGCCACCAACTAAGTTTTTAGATTGGCTTTAAAAAAGACCCACTCTCTGTTCAATCCAATTCATCCAAAGCGTTCTTTCATTTGCCGTCCAGCTGTATTATATGCCTGATCAATATTTTCTTCCAAGATTATATTTTGGATAATAGATGTTTTTGCTAGTGACAGACCTAATCATTAAAAAGCTGGATTTATTCTGTTAAACATGTTACATGTTATCACGACAATAGGATACTAGTCACAAAATCGTGACAGAGCTGTTAAAAATATTGAGAAAACCCCAATATTGGTCAGCTATTTGAGCTGGCCTTGTAGACACTTATTTGCTGTAGAGTCATTTTTTTAAAAAAAAATTATTGAAGTTTTTCAACAGAATTAAAAACAGTACAAATGTTGAATTAAAGAAGAATGAGGAAAAGTCATAATAAAGTGAAAAATATAGAAAAGAAAAGCAGCTTCTGATCTTCATAACAGCAATTATAGACAGATTTACATCTTACTCTCTCTCTAAGGTTACATCATATTTTCATTTTCATAAGCTACTTTTTCTAATCTTCAGACCCATAAATCACAAATTCATTTTTCTATTTTTTTCAGTAAAAAGTCCATAAGGGTTTTCCAGAGTACTAATAAATGTATTTATTGATCTTCCTGTAATCAAACACATTAATTTTGCCATCTGCTATTTCTGTCATCTACACCAACTAATCCTGTGATGTGAGTATTTCAGTCTTTCCGTTTCCAAGAAAAGTTCTAATTTCAGTTGAATGTTGATTTTTAAAATTCTTTATATTATTATAAATATTGAAACCCTCCAATTTCTGGCTTTTTTCATAACCAGCAGGCATGATAAAATGATGTTTATATGTTGTCCACATTTCCAGCATAAATTGGAAATATCTTTATACATTCTAGACACATTTTCTGGTGTCAAGTGTCAATGGTGTATCATTTTATATAATTTTTCTTTTAAGTTATAGCAATGTAAATTTCAGTCCTTTTAACCACATATTTTCCCACTGTTCCATCAATATATACTATCACAATTCTTAGCTCATTTTGTCATACAATCTTTCACTTTTTCTTCTTCTGTTTCACATTCAATAAAAGTTTATACATCTTCACAATTACATGTTCACAGTTTATATATAGTTCAAATTCTGCCTGCTGCTCAAGCTACTTTGAATCTTTCTCTTAACTGTGCATATGAAAACCATTGAAAACTAACCCCCCTTGAAGCCAGTTGCATTCTTGCTTTCATTTTATACTCTTCGTGTTCTAATAGCTCTTGATAAATTTAACCATTTGTCTTTATCTACTGTTACTTTTCTATAAAATACTTCTTGTGGTGAGGTTTATATTTATCTGAAAATACATTTCTCCCCATCCCCTTTACAGTCCAAGAAACTTGGGAGGGTCCCTTCTGGGCTGTTTGCACTGCCCAGTTGCCTTTTAGCTGTCTATTCCCTTGACTCTGTCTCTTTTCCTTATCTCCCAAGGTCATTCTCTGATACCATTACAGGCTACCCTTGAAGAGCATCTGGAAGCTGCAGCTGGGATAAAAAGCAACAGCACAAGCAGTTATGGTTATTGGCAGGATTGCTTCTTCATGATAATGTCTATCCATTCCATCCCATTATCTGGAAGGGAAGGTATGGTATCAGTCTTATCCATTAAAGAGTGCCACCTAGTGGGAGTTAGGAAGACAATCTTTTTTGTTGCAGTGCCTTCCTTGTGGACATCCTCCTCCAGAGATCAGACTGTCCCTGATCTTGTTGGCCTTTTGCAGTGCCCTGAAGACATGATTGTGTTCCTAGAACTGAAGGCTAGAGTGTCTGATAGAGCCCATGAATTAGTTTTCTTAAAAGATTTCTACTGTTCTTATATTGATGATTGTTTTTAATTTGCTTTTCTCTTTTTATCTTGCTGCCAATTGTCTAGAAAATCAGAATTTGTTTTTTGTAATGCTTGCAAATTGCTGAATTGAGGACATTGTTTCTTATTGTATACCTGTCTACCTCAGCCGTAATTTTACATCTGGCTGTAATTAATTAATCTCAGGATCCCAATAAAAGAAAGTAGATCCTTACAGGCTTAAAGTCAACCCTACTCTGATTTAAACTGAGTTCTAATCAAGCTTCTAAAAACAAAAACATTAATTGAAATGGACATCAATGATCCACTCCCTGAATCATTATTCCAATAGAGAGAGGCATAGAGAGAAAGAGAGAGGGAGGAAGTTTTAATCTTGGAAATCGGTATTGTGATTGTTTTAAATCTACAAGGAGCTCTCAATCCCCAAGTTCTTTTTGGGCTTAACAAAACTATAAGGGTACAAAGAAACTCAGCAAATCAATTCTTCTACAGGTGTTTTTTTTTTTAAAAAAAGTCCATTTTGGATCCTTGGGTACAGGGAGCTAAAAATTCACATATGATGTAAACTTAAAAAGCAGAACCCATAAGAAAAAGAAAACAATATATCGTCTCTCAAAGGAAACTAGGTTCATGAATTCATTGTAATCTATTTTATTGCTACTGAATGCTTTATTGGATCTGTGCAACCCTCTGAAGATAAATTCAAAAGCACTGTGTAACTTACAATGGAACATCTTTCATAGCTGTAAATATTAATCTCATTATAAAGCATATTAAGAATTAACACATATGAAATACTGGCATCTTGTACCCATGGTTCCTTTTCTTTTGAGAGTTCATAAACACATAACTGCATATCATCAACGGCATATCTAAATGCATTGTGCACCCGAAAAATCAATTCCTTAGACATTAAAAGAGAGTGATTGGAGCTCATTTATGTTAATTATCTACCTAACAGCTACAATTACTAACAATACACTTGTTTTATGATAGCATTCAACCTCCAGTTCCTGGGAAATTTAGAACTCAGCCAGGCAGAAGTAGTAATATACCAATGTTTTCTCTGCGTTTCTCCCAAGTTATTTGTCCTAGAACTGCCCTTCCAGATTTTTCTCACAATATTTTTTGGGAAAATGATTCATTTCAGAAGTTGATTGGCCATGGATAAGAAATGCAGGCAATTTGCTAACTATCCTAATGAACCTAATGCCAGAAAAAGAAAGATTTCAGGCTACAAATTTCAGTATGCATGTTTTAAAACTCTGGGATCAATGGAACTTACTCTTGTATAAATGTTTTGGGATCAAGTTCATATTATTATCATATTCATCAATTGATACCATCATATCATTTCCATATATTCCTCAATTATTGTTGTTGAAAAATGGTTGATGTCAGAAACTCTGATTTCATAATAAAATTGTGAAGCATAATAAGTGATTTGTGGCATCATATTAGCAACTAAAGCAATCTAGTATCCCACTCAACAGTTGTTGTTCAATGCTTCAAAGAGTCACAAAAAAGATAACAAAGTAATAGGAGTAATTTAAAATGCAATCTTTAATACCTTCCTGTCTCTCTATCCCACTTAATGGCCTTGGATGCAGTGGATGAAATTTGCCTTTGGAGTTCACAGCCAATATGATAAGCAAGCCTATTGATTCCAAGGTCTGTCTGGACAGTAAAAAGTTTGGCCGCACAAAACCTCATGTTAGTAGAGACTAGGTAAATTAAAGCATTCAATGTTGACAGAACCAGCAACACAGATGGCAGAACTTGGATATTTTTCCTAGTTTAAGTTGACTTTTTGTCCATTTAAGAGTTAGTGCCATCAGAAAAAAAAGTGTTAATCTAGTTCTCAAAAAAGCACCATACTTTGTTTACAAGAAGTTTATTTAAGACTCTAACAAGCACTTTTGGAAGCATTGCACTGGGTAGATGCTTCTTCAAAAACCAGGTAGCTCAACCTCAGCCAAAATGACCATAGAGAGCATTTCCCAGTAATAGGACAGAAGGGGGAATACCAATAGCAGCCTAAACGTGCCAGTAATATTCAGGCAAATCTCAATTTCTGATTGAAACAATAACAATATAATCAGTGAAGTAGGCTAAATTGTATCCATGACAAAAAATATGATAAGAGAAGAGGGGAAACTGCTTTAAAAGTGGAATTGTTAAAGATGACTTTAAGCTTCCTCAGCTATGGCCTGGGGATGAGATAAAAATGATATCATGAGTACATGGCAGAAAAAGTGATTATGTTTGGTTAGGAAGATGCAAATTTGAGTTCACAAACTGGGTATCAAATTGGCAAGATAGAAAAGAACTATTGCTAAGTCCAATACTTTCTGTAAGTCATATGGAAAAATAATCAAATTCACAAGTAAAGAGTGTGGAATAGTTTTAACATACCTAATACTCCTTCCAATTTTCCTGACAACAGCAATCTTGTGAAGTCGATTGGGCTGATAAAGTTCTCAGTTCTTTGAAGGATAGTTCTCTTTCACATTTTAGAAAACCTGATAGGAGGTTCTAGATGACAATACATTACTGATCTTGACTTGGAAATGAATGAAATTCTCCTCCTTTTTCGAAGCCAGATCAACTTTATTGACTCCACTTCTAAGTTTCATCCAAGAAGCACATAGAGGAAGAATCCTGTCACTCATGCCTTTGGTGTCAAGCTGTGAACCCTACGGTCTTTAAGACGGCTACATGCTTCTAACTTGCCAACAGTGCAGGAGGGAGAGAGGGGAGAATTTGGAATCCACAGGTGTCCAGAGCTGTTGAAGAGTTGTTTTGGCAAACTAAAGCTTCTTCTCATAATAATTACTGAAGGATGTATTGGACAATGTAACCTGAACCTGTCAGAGAGGGAAGGCAAAGTTCCATTTTTTAAATTAACTGCTTCCCTTCATTTCCTCAGAGCTAGCTTTCCTTTAACCCTGCTGGTTTGTATTTGCTCAATAAAGTATACATTAGAGAACACAATGGCTCTGATGTTTTGCTTTGGTTGAGCTTTTCAGCCAGAGGTTGACACTTGGTAGATGTAATTCCCAGATCATTGAACATACCAGACATGTGTACCATGTGTACAATTCTGCAGGTTGCTATTTGGGATTACTCATCCTGGAATGTTTTATGAGGGTCATCTTATAAACTAATATATGTATAAATGATTTTCACCCACTCCCTTTTTTGTACTTCCTCATGAAAAATTTAGAATTCAGTTATGAATATCATTTAAATGATTTGAATCCAATCATTCAGAGTGCTGATTTCAAAGTACTTTGAAACCAGCACTGCATTTTTATTCAGTTCTGAAGTACTTTGAAATCAGAGATTAATTTCCAGTTACTTGATAGCCTGGCAACAATGAGACTTGACTCAAAAGGATCAGATGAAATGAGAACATAACCAGTTCCGAAGGACTCCGTAGAATACCTTAATAATGTTGCAGCTGAGGCTTTTCATATTGAATATTCACTTTCATATATTTTTGGGATTTAACAGAGCAAAGGACATCACAGTCTGAAATTTTTTGGGAGAGATGAAAGTTTGAATAGCAGCAGCTTTTTAAATAGCTTTCAGCACCCAAAGTGAAAACAAAGAAGTCTCTGTTCAAGCAGCTATCCTTTTAACAACAAGATCCATAGTGCTATGCGCTCTCCAGGAAACAACGCCAATGGCAAGAAATACCTTGCACAACATGCGGTCAAAAAGTGTCAGATAAAAAACTTTTGTGCTGGAGCTAGAGAGCATGTGATAATAAAGGATGTCGTGGGAAGGAAATGGCTTGCCACGCAAAACATAGCCCAGCCATGCTTCATCTTGATTTGCAAAGGGGAGAAGGGAAAACACACAAATAGGCAACATCAGGTAAGTACCACATTTGCAGATGTGACTATAGGCCTGCTTTTAGAAATAACATTGAGTTGGCGGGAAATTTCTAGGGCAGCGGGGGGGGGGGGGAGAGATGAACATGGTAATTTTATAGCTTTGCCCAAACCGGGTCTGAAATTAACAGATGAAATGGTTTCAAAACCAGAAAGTAAAAATTTCAGGCAGCAGAATGAGTGAGCTTGGTCCTAGGACTGCCCAATAACTTCTGTTGGATTATCTTCCAGATTAGGAATGGTCAAGATGACTTTGTTTCTCAGAATAAATCTGAAATGACTAATTTTCTTGTTATGTTTTGAGTTAAGAATCTTTGTAATAGTAATAACTTGGGTGCCACCTAATTCATTTAAATATTAATTTAGTCTTCTCTGTGACAAATAGATTAAAAATGTTGCTGCTTATAATGGCTAAAGTTGTGCAGTCCTACAGGGTTTCAAGGCTATGGACTGCTAACAAATCTATGATTCAGACTAAGAATCAACTGATTCTGCATAAGTGTTCTTGCCTTGATTAGATGGATTCATGCACTCCTTGAAGAATATTGAGTGCAACTTTATTTCTTGATGGACAAATTCTTGTTTAATCCAGGAATACTACTATTTTTCCTCCTCCTCCTCCTCCTCCTCCATTATTTCTATCTTTCTGGCTTCATATGCTATCTTGGAAAAGAAGGAGCTTATCTCTTTATTTTAAATACTAGGTGATCTATTAGATCATAATAGACTGCTTTAAAACTTCCAAAAGCTATATAGTAATAAGAATGGGAACAACATTCAAGTGATTATACAGAGGGAACAAATGTCACCACTCACCCAATGAATCTTTTATCAGTCAGCTTCCAGACTCAACTCAGCTTACTGGCACTGATCATAATGCTGTAAATAATATGGATCCAATATACTTAAGGAGGGGAAAGAGCTATTCTTTCTGAACCTTTTTTAGTCTCTGTAAAGCAGAACTGTTTCAGGTTTTCCCTCTTTATCAGTTTGTTAGATTTAGCTCTCTGTTTACATTCAGCCT